GACTTTGATTCTAGCTTAGTCCTTGGACCACAGATGTGAAGATAGAGTTTCAAAGGCAGGGATATGGTCAAAGTCAGAAAAACTAAGTAAAAGTGTGTGTGAGAAAAAGATAGGCAGTAAAAGTTGCTCAGTATTCACGACAGCCAATACACATAGAGTAGAATAATATTGTCATTCAGCCATTAACATGAGTGAGATATTGTCATTTGGGGCAACGTGGATGAATGGACATGGAGACAATTATGTGAAACAAAACAAGCAGACACTGAGAGAGAAAAACCCACATGATCTCACCCTCATGGATCTTATAGAAGTGGAGAGTAGAGTGGTGCTTACCACAGACTGAGAAAGAAGAGGAGGTAGATGGAGAGAGGATGGTAGGGTTCCATGATGCCCCTAAAGACGAGTGATAACCTATCACACCGTAGAATAACTGTTTACATCGGCTTCCCATCACTAGAATTAAATGCCTGAAATAACTAATTTCTAAACAGCGACAGTTTATTTTGAACTCTGTTTTTAGAGGACGCACCCAACGATCAAGCAGAACCACCATTTTCAGGCTTCCGGCGATGAAGCGAGATGGCCACTGTAGGGAACGTGTGGCAGTGCAAACCACTCACTTCATGGCTAGAAAGCTGATGAAATGACAAGTGTTCCAGATGATGGGCGCACCAAACACAGTGATCTAATGACTAGGTTTCCTATACACTGAAATACCACACTGCAATCTGTAAGTATGTACAACTGTTTGCCACTTTAAATTATCAAAAACTTATTTTCTAAAGGGCTTTTATGTCTCACAAGTTATAGCCTGTTTCTACGTCACCTTCATTCAATTTATAAATGCACTTTGTAGTTCACAAATTTTGTGTGTCTGTTCATGTATACGTGAGTATGCATGCTTGTATATGCCCATGTGTGTGGAGGCCAGAGGTGGATGGTGGGTGCCTTCCTCACTTGCCAGTCTCCACCTTATTTTCTGAGACATGGTCTCTCACTGACTCTAGAGCTCACTAATTCAGCTAGAACTAGACTGGCTGGCCAGCAAGCCTCAGGGGTCCTTTCTGAGCCTCTCCAGTGCTATGGTCATGGGCATGCATGCCCCACAGTGCCCAGCTTTTAAACATGAGTTCTAGGGGATTAGACTCAGGTCCTCCCACTGAACCTTCTCCTCAGCCTCACAATATTTTTTTCTTTGTGTCATCTAAACTGTTATAAAACTTGAATATATTTTCAGCTCACATGGAATTATATCCTACATAACTAAACAAAGTTTCTCCATCTTCACAAAACACCAATGACCTCTCTCTTAGGTAAGAGATCAAGACTATTGACTGAAACCCTGGCAGGAAAAATGGAGCTTGACAAAGAAAATTCTCATAAACAATAATTAGAATAATAATTAAATGCCAGAAAAGGACAAAAGCCTGTGCACTCTTTAAACCTTAGGAAAGAATAAACTAAAATAAACCCTCTGTGAAAACCACTTGGGTTGTTTTTAAAAGGTCTCCCAAATTTTCAATGGCTCTGTTATTAGCGATTCTTAATGTATGAGGTCGTCATTTCAGAATAAATCTTTCAGTAATTCAAAACAAGGACTCTTCAGTAAATAGTTGAAATTAAGGGGGGAGTTGGAGTCATCTGGTTTCCATTAGGATGATAAAATAGTTCACTTGAAACCTTTTACAATATGCTTTGTTATAGGGAGGTGTCTGCCCGGCTCACTCCATCACTGGCCATTTGACACAACATAAAAAGCTTCAAAAGCCATGTTAGGCCTCTTAATCAAAAACTAATTGTAATAGATATTGGGGAGTGTTAACACGGTGACCGCGGGGTTGTAGCAGTGGTGTGGAAGCGGCAGTGAACATTAAACACAACCCGGGCTCGATAGGGCTTATCTCAGCTTCAGAGTTCAGAACTAAGTAGAGCCGGCCCGTATCTCCCCGCTCTTGCTTTGTACCACTTTTCGAGTTAATTGCCCTGTAAAGCTTCGTCTTCTTAATGAAATTTATAACGTTGTCAGAAATCTTGGAAGGCATGGCTGTGGTTTAGGAGACTTTACAGAAAACAGAGACGTAAACACAGGGGAAAAGCAAATACATACTCAGCGCCTAATGCATGTCGGACTGGGCAGAGCTGGTACAAGGCTCCCAGGCTCAGGGGAGGGGGAGGCACTGGGAGCACATTAACTCTTTCAAGCCTGTGATGGGATCTTCACTGAACAGCTCTAATGGAAGGTAGTAATTGTCATCTTAGGGCTAGTGGTAGGCATCGAGACTTACGAGGCTAGAACTCCCAGCCAGCCGGGACAGAATGGAGGCTTGTCAGGCTCCACACTGTATCAACAATATGGCCTGTGCCCAGTAAATGTTTTCAGGACTAATGCATGGATGAATGATCTTATTCATAGAATGCAGTGCTTCACAATTTCCAGGGTGCTTTCAAGCTGGATGATCGCTATGACTACCCTCTGACAAGCTTAAGGTTTCATTAACAATCGATCTAATCTCAGATGGCTGCTCCATAACTCTCACTCCCGCCTTCCTCGTGTTTGCTAACTCAGACTAAGGCGCATCTTAAAAGTTAAAGAGCACAGGCAATTTTAGGTAGTGAGTTAAGTCCTGAAACAGAAAAGAGGAGAGAAGAAGGGGAAAGCTGGTGAAGTCTGATTAGGTCTGGAATTTAATTAACAGTACTGTTCATGACTCTGCTTTCTGGTACTATGGTTTCGTAGGAGGTTAACATTAAGGCAAACTGGATGAAAGGGGGATAGAAATAGACATTCTATGCGATATTTTGCATTTTTCTGTCACTCTAACATTCTAAAATAAAAAAGCTTTTGAACATAGCTGATTTACTACTAAAGAATAAGTTTGTTGTGCCAAACTGGCATTCAGATAATTCTAACAAGTATTACTGGAAGAAAAGTAAGACATCCCACTAATTGTCAACTAGCTAGAAAAACTCGCTGGACAGTAAGTGAAGATGACATAATTTCTCATTCTGTTTTATATGTTCTTATATTGATATTGTGCCTTGAATGTTTTATCCTGAAAAGGAGGAATTGTTTTCTGATGATAGAAGAAATGAAATCAGGACCTGGGGAGATGGGTCAGTGAGAACGTGTTTGCTATGCAATCACGAGGATCTCAGCTGAATCCCTTAGAAGTCACATAAACACCAAAGGAAGCAAAGACAGGAGAATTCCTGAATCTTGATGCCAGCCAGTTTAGCTTTATCCATCAGCCCCAGGTCCCAGTGAGAGATCCTGTCTCAAAGTCCAAGGTGAACAGTGTCTGAAGAACAAAACTCATTTGGCCTCCACATGCACGCACACACACACACACACACACACACACACACACACACAGAGACATGAATGCACATATACACAAGAAATGAGATCATTGCCGCTATTTTTCTATCTATAAAATTACTAACATTAAAAATAACTTTAAATTGTTTTTTAAAATGAATGTTTTGTTTTGTTAAAAAAAAAAAAAGATGACACACACACAGAATTGATGTGGGAAGCTATCTGACCATAGGCCAGTCTGTTTGGTTTTAGCCCCATCCAGAACTTCAGCTACCACCACTTTGCATGATTTCCAAGTGCCCGCTTGGACATCTACCCTGTGCTTTAGCCCCGATGCCTGCACAGTCAGCCCAAAGAAAATAACTGTGCATCAGGCCAGGCCTCCACCCCTTCTTTCTACCTGGCTACCTACAAGTGTACTCTTCTTTCCCACCACGTCACCCTCGCCATCTTGTCTACTGAAGTTCTTTTCTGTGCTTTAGGTAGCAAAGAGCCATCTGCATTGTCTAGGCTGGCCTGCCTTTGTTCTCCAGAACTTCACACATATTTCACAGAACTACATATATGATATGAATCTCTGCTCTTATACTTACTGCACTTTCTGCTATTTATGCATGTGACAAACTCTTCTATGCTCAAATCCCAGAAGGACAGAATTGTGATTCTTTATCCTCATGCCCTCACTGTTGTTCATCTGAAACCATTTGGGCATTGATACATGAAAAGGAAAAAGCACCTTTAAAAAGTTTACCATGACACTGAAGACGTTATTCTACAAATTAGAAGATTGGTTGGACCACTTTTGAAGTAGGCAAAGAATAAGTGCCTGTGAGGGTCCCAGTTCTAAGTGACACATCTACAATGCAGCCTCTACATCTAAGGCTCAGGGAACATCATGGAAGAAGGGGCAGAAAGATTGTAAGAGCTGGAGGGAAAAGACACCTCATGCTACTTAATGCATTCTAGACACGGTAGGAAGCTGCATAGTATGGTAGTCTAACAAGATCTGCATAATGACAAAACCAAATGGCATGTCAAAGTGGATGGGGTAATGTCATGGGGCCCCACGTCCAGGTGAAGAGCTAGAGGTAATCAATGAATGCTGGAGGAGGGAGAACCAGTTTTCTGCAGGGACTAAGCACCCTGAGAGTTTATCTAACCCCAAGTGGGCAGCACTAAACACAGGCACACACAAATGGACTCAGTGAATTATAATGGATTCAGTGCATTACATGCATACATATTTATAAATATATGTATGCATATGTAACAATAATAATCAAAGAAGAGGAGAGAAAATTGAGATGAACGGGGGGGCATGGAAAGAGTTGGTGGGGGATTCAGAAGTGTGGAAATAATGCAAATACAATACTCATGTATGAAATTTTCAAAAACTAAAGCCATAAAATGAAAAAAATTTTAAAGTAACCAAAATGTCAACAGCATGCCTGCTGGAGAGTTTGCTTCTCTCTGCTATTAGGGAGTCTGAGAAGGCTCTGCTCTCAAGATTGGCCCTGCAACATAGCCTCTGGTCTATGGGTCTTAACAGCCTATTCAAAGGTAGTTCAGTACCCCCAAATGTGTCTGTCTGCCTACTTAAAGTATGAGGAGGAGGAGGTGGGGTGCTAGCAATTTCCTTTGAAGTTATTAGATAGCCAAGACAAATGGCTACACCTACCTGTAAGGGTGGCTGGGAAATATATTTCAGCTACAAGGTCTTCTAACCACCTAAAAAGGCAGGAGAAAATGAGGCATTAAAGTATAGTTCTGAACCCTTGCCATAGTTATTTTGTCTTGTAGAAATTAGCCTACTTAGAACTGGGCATAATGCCTGTAATCCCAGAACTCACAATGCAGGATATTGGATTTGAGGCCAATCTGGGCTACATAGCAGGACCTTGTCTTACAAAATAATAATAATAAAAAGGAATACAGGAAGGAAGGGAGTTAACTTGTGCATGTATTTCTATTTTTATAGATTTTTCCCTATAAGAATAGCAATATTTTATGACAACATTATTGAGATATATTTAACATAGCATGAAATAAACCCATTAAATGTGTGAATCCAGTGGTTTTTAGTCACAGAACTGCACGATCAGCATTATTCAATTTCAGAAAATTTTCATCGCCCTCAAAAGAAATACTGTGTCCATCAGCAGTCTCTAGATTTTCTTCTCCAACATTCCTGGCAGCCACTAACCCTATTTCTATCTCCACGGATTTGCCTGGCCTTGGCATTTCATATAAATAGAAAAATACACTATGTGGTCTTAGGAGTCTGGTGTCTCTCACTCAGTGTATAATGTTTTCAAGGTTCATAGTTGTAGCATATATTAACACCTTGTTTCTTTTTATGAACATATAAGATCCAATGTGTGGATGTATCATGTTTTGTTTGTGCGATCACCAGTTGATCAGTGCTTGGGTGGCTTCCACACTGACTGCTTAAATAATTTGGCTGAGGATGCTCCTGAAGAAGTTTTTGTGTGGACATATGTTTTTAGTTCTCCTGGGTGCATGCCTAAGTGTGGAATTACTGTATCATATGGAAACTAACATTTTGAGAAATTGACACACTGTTTCCCAAAGTAGTGGTGGCATTCCCCCATCCCAGTGCCTAGGGTGCCAGTTTCTCTCCTTACCAACCCTTGGTATTATCTGTCTTATTTTCATCATCCTTGTGAATATGTGCAATGGAATGTCATTGTGGTTTGATTTGCATTGTCCTAAAAACTAAAATATTGGAGATCTTTTCATGTGCTTATCAGCCATTTGCATATTTTCTTCAGAGAAAAATATCTACTTGAATCATACTACACAAAGCTCTTGTATGTGGGGGGTTGTACATGTATGTGCAGATACACACACACACACACACACACACACACATGGAGAACAGAGGTCAACCTCAAGTATTGTTACTTACGTGCCATTCACCTTGTTTTTGAGGCAGGATCTCTCATTGGCCTGGACCTTGTCAATTAAGCTAAGCTGTCTGGCCAGTGAAACCCAGGTATCTCCTGTCTGAGAATCCCCAGTGCTGGGATTACAAACACATTGTGCCAGCTTTTTACATGGGTTCTGGGGCTCAACTCAGGGCCTAATCTCTGCCTAGCAAGCACTTTACTGACTGAGCCATCTCTTCAGTACCTCAAAACCACCTTTTAATTGAGCATTTGTCTATTTTCCAGTCCCAGGGTATTTGACAGCCTCTTCCGACCTCCGTGAGCAGTGCACAACATGGGTGCACTTACCTACATGCAGGCAATACACGCATAAACATAAAATAAAAATGAATAAATAAATTTTTTAAAAAAGGATTTATTGTTCAGTTTTAAAATAGCTCTTATATTCTGGATACAAGTTCTATACCAGGTATGTGACTTGAAAATATTATTTTTCCATCCTGTGACTTGTGCTTTCACTTTCTTGATGGTGTTTTGAAATATAAAAGTTTCTTGCTCACTTTAATAAAGTCAGAATTTTTGTTGCTTTTGCTGTTGATGTCATATTCAGGAAACTATTGCCTAATTTAGTTTAAGCTATTACATTGAATTCTGTGATCCATTTTGAGGCTATTTTTGGACATAATGTGGAACAGAGTGGTCTAATTTTATTCTTTTACAGGTGAATACTTAGTTGCCCCAGTGTCACATTTTAAGAAGATGGTGTTTTTTTGCATCAACTTGTCTTGGCACCCTTGTCCAAAATCAATTGACTAAACAAGCATTTGTTTCTAGATTCTCAATTCTATTCCATTGATCAACGTGTTTACCTTTATGCCCAAACCATATTATCTTGACTAACTTTGGAATTAGTTTTCAAATTTGAGTCCTCCAATTTTGCTTCTTTCCCAAATTGCTTTGTTTGTGCTATACTGGGTCCCTTTTGTCACTATTTAAATATTAATACAAACTTTTCCATGCAAGAAAAAAAGCAGTGGTAATTTTGATAGGCCTTTGTATTGATTCTATAAACCAATATTAATTCTTCCAGTTCATGAACATGGGATACCTTTCAATTATCTAGAACTTTACCTTCATTCCATGATATTTGATAGTCTTTAGCATATGGCTCTTGCATATACTTTCTCAAAATTATTCTAAAAGATTTTATTTTTTGTGATGCTAATAAATAGAATTATCTTCCAAGCTTCATTTTCTGATAGTTTATTGCTAGCATATAGAATTAGAACTGATTTTTGTATACTGATCTTACATTCTACAATCTTGGAAGCTCACTTATCATATCTAATAAGAACTTTTGTTGTTATTGTTGTTTTGTTCTGGGGGGGGCTTGGGAGGGATGCTTTTTGTTTGTTTTTGAGACAGGGTTTCCCTGTAGCTCCAGCTGGCTTGAAACTCACTATGTAGACTAGGCTGGCCTCACTTTCACAGAGAGCCTCTCACTCCTGGGTGCCACTGTGCCCCGTTTTCTAATAAAAATTTTACAAATTCTTTGAGATTTTTCTATGAAAGATATCATAGATAGATGAGATCATATCATCTTCAAATGGAGATAATTTTATTTCTTCCAATATGAGTACCTATATGTTTATAATTATAATGTATTTTTGATAGTTGACACTTTCATTATTATAAAGTTTCTAGTCTCTTCAGCAGCAATTTTTTAATTAATTTTTTTTTAATTTTATGCTTATGAGCATATTGCCTACATGTGTGTAAGTGCCTCCATGTCGTGCAATGCCCCTGGAGTCAGAAGAAGGTGCTGGATCCCCTAGAACTGGAGTTACAGAAGGTTGTTAGCAGTCTCTGGGTACTGGGAATTGAACTGTGTCCTCTGCAAGAGCAGTCAAGTGCTCTTAACTGCTCAGCAGCCATTTTTTTGTCTTAGCAGCTAATTAATAGAGTCACTCTAACTGGCTTTTGACTACTATCTGCCCAGAATATTTTTCCATGTTTCTACTGCCAATTGTTTGTGTCTTGGGATATAAAATGTATCTTTTGTAGGCAAGATTGAGATGAACCATCTTTTTTTTTAACTTAAAAAATTTTTTTATTATTTTTATTTTATGTATATGCATGTATTGCCTGCATGTAGGTAAGTACACCTGTGTCATGCAATGCCCATGGAGATCAGAAGAGGCTGTTGGGTCCCCTAAGACTGGAGTTGCTGACAGTTTTTAGCTGCCATGTGGGTGCTGGGATTCGAATCCAGGTCTTCTGCAAGAACAACCAGTGTTCTTAACCACTGAGCCATCTCTCCAGCCCTGAGATGAACCATCTTTTTAAAAGTCATCTTTTAGTACATTTGTCAAACTCTGCCTTTTGATTGGAATAACACATTAATATTAAATAATTATTGAGACATTCATATACAATACGATATTTTAACAATCTTGCTATTTGTTTTACTTCTTTTCTTAGTGGTTATCCTGAGTATAATAATCACCATCTTAACTTACAATGATGAAGTTTATATTACAACAAGCTTAATTTTAATCATATGTGACAACTTGGCTACAACACGGCTCCATTTCCTCTGCCTCCTTTGTGCAATTGTTCCTATAATCTATATATTTGCCCACATAAGCAAATTTTATATTTCTTGCTTATGAAGTTGGCTTTTAAACAAAAGGAGAAAATATTAACAAACAAAAATTCTTTATACTGTCTTTCCTACTTACCTGTGTGGTTTCATTTACCAGTTACTGAGTTTCTGCTTCCTATCCTCTCATCTCCACATGAAGGATCCCCTTTAATCTTTCTTGCAGGGAAATCTGTAAGCCACAATGGTTCTTTTTCTTTCCTTTTTCTTCTTTTCCTTCTTCTTCTTCCTCTTCTGCTTCCTCCTTCTTTTCTACCATCTTCTTTGGTCTTGAATTTATTTCTTGTTTCAATTTTTTATGCCTGTGGAAGACAAAAGGGCATCAGATCTCTTAGCACTGGAGTTATGGATGGTTTTCACCCACCACATCACTGCTGGGAACTGAACCTGGGTCCTCTGCAAGAGTCGTCAGTGCTCTTTAATGGCTGAGACATCTCTCCAGTCCCTATTTAATTTTGCTGGATGATTTTGCCTGGAATAGGACTCTTGCTGGATCATCTGTCCTCCTTTTCATGATGTGCAACGTTGCCCGTCTGGCTTCTGATACAGTTAGTCATTGCTCTTACTGAGGAATCTCTGGTTCCCTTGCTACTTTCAAGATTTTTTTCCTTTCCTTTGTCTTTTAATGCTTTGATTATGATAAAGTGATGCTTCCAATGTGGCTTAAAGTCACTCCTTCCTCTCTTAGTGTGGGCTTTGAACTCATGTAGAAAAATGACTATCATGTAAAATAGAAACAACAGTGCTTACCACTTTGGTTTGTGGGAATGAAATAAGATAATTCTATATTCTGCCTGAAAGAAAAATATTGCATATAAGTTTATTCTTCTCAAAGCAAGAATTGCTTTGAGGAGTATATCAGAAGGGGGAACATCTTGTCTGCAGCTCCTCTGCACTGTCCTCTCCTCAGCTCAGATATCACCAGAGAGGCATCTCTTGATCCCTCCAGGCCCCTCCACTGGTCATTCTGTTTCCTGTTGCAGATTGAGTATCACTTGTCCAAGAGATTGGAAAAAGAAATGTTTCAGATTTATGGTTTGTTTTTTGATTTTGTAGTATTGGCATATATACAATGGGATAGCTTGGAGATGAGACCCAATTGTAAACAAAAAACTCATTAATATTTCATGCATATTTTATACAGACTGAAGGCAGTTTTCTTTAATACTTTTAGTGCACATACATTTTGACTATAACCTACTGTATGATGTCATGGGTAGAAGACTCTGCCAGTGGTATTGTGGTGGTGATCGTAAGGTTTCACATTCTATAGCAGTCTGGATTTTAAATTATCCAATTAGGGATGTCCTTGAGTGGCAATTATCCTAATTCATCTAGGTCTGGGGATTTGTTGAGTTGCAAGATTTTTCTATCCTAAAATTAGGACAATCTGAGCATCACAGGAAGTTCTCCACCTACTGTCAGTTTTCAACTATCAGCTCTATTTTTTTAACGGTCCTGGCTACTATCTGATACCATTCAATTTGCTTTTTATATGTTTATTTTTTAGTTCCTTCAGCCTTGGGTATAATCCCCATGAGGATCTAGGTAGGCCTTTGTCTGTATGGTTTTATGCACATGTGTGTAACACTACCCTGGTGCTTAATAAGGACTAAGTTATTTGTTGAAATTCAAATGCATTTTTTGATTACTTGATTCCTTTTTGTTTTTTACATGCATATGTATGTGTGATGAGCCTGTGTATATGTATGTTTGAATATGTGTGAGTGCATGTGTAAGTGTGCCACTGCATATGCATATATGTGCACAAGCTTGTAGAGGCCCAAAGTTGAAGTCTGGTAGCTTCCTTGATGGCTTTCTACTTTATTTATTGAGGCAAGGTCTCTCACTGAACCCAGAGCTCACCAAATCCAGCTCATCTAGCAAGCCAGCTTGCCCTAGGGATCCCATCACTGCCTCCCAAATGCTAAGATTACAGATGACTGCCATACCCTCCGGGCTTTCATGTATGTGGTGGAGACCCACCATTGCGCCATCGTTCCAACCCTGATTCTTTTTTAAAAAATATTTTTCTGGGAACCAAACCCAGGTCTTCTGCAAGAGCAAACATTGCTCTATCTCTCCAGTCTACTGATTCCTTTTTATAAAGTCTAGTTTTCCTGTTTTCAAGTTTAATAATATAAAAACAT